CAGTGACAGAGCAGTTCAGAGACACCCCTGACCCCTTCCCCCACCTCCCCAGGCCCCTGGGAACACAGCACAAGACAGGGAAGGCTGGCAAACCTTGTATTACAAAAATAAAGGGGCGCATGTCCGCGAGGCTCCGGCGCAGAACGTACCAGTGGAAGGCAAATATAAAAAAGAGACACTGTCAAACAGCGGCAGGGCAACATCCTTAAGGCTGRACCATCCCAGCTGAACTGAGCTGATGTAAAAGCAAGGACCCTCGTGATCCAGAGCCCCGGGAGCTGTGCTGGGGCTCGTAAAATGCTGGAGCTCATCTCATTTTCCCCGTRGTGATGGGGCTGCAATGGATCAGCAGGGCTGGGGGTCCTGCTCTGATCTCACTGGGGACAGGATCCTGCAGAAAGAGGGAGCTGGGGGCTGCACCCTGCTCACCTTACACCCTGCAGGATTCCTTTGAACCCCCTCCCACCCTCCCTTTGCACAGATCCCGCTTTCCATCAGCTCAGTTCAGCTGAGCTCAGCTCCTCCAGCCCTGCAGGGCTCCGGGCGAGGGGCCTGGCCCCGCTCACGCCGATTTGGTGCCGCTCTCCACCTCCTTGTGCACCCACAGCTCCTTGTGCTGCTTGCGCCCAAAGCCTTCGTCGTAGTTGCCTTTGCTCTTGAAGAGCTGCTGGAAGTGGGGCTTGCAGTAGAACTCTCCGTGGAGAGCGGCGTAGCTGCCCAGGCTGCGGGGGGACAGCGGGGTTAGCGGGCACCGAGGATGAATTGGAGCATGGGGGGCTTGGGGACACTGGGGCAGGGCAGGAGGGGACGTGCAGGAGGGGACCTGAGGGCAGACAGCTCCCTCCCACCAGTACAGGCTGTTGGGGAATGCTGTAAGTAAAGATTGGGGGTCTCCAGTGAGCTCAGCCTCRGCTCTGGGTGCTCTAGGAGACGGCTCTGGCTCAGCTCCTCTCAAAAGAAAGCATCTCCTTCCACACCAGCTGGGATTCAGCTGAGCCTTGGGCCCAGGGGTGCAGATAAACCTTTATTTTACTGTGGTTGCCCTTTTTGGGAGCTCCCAGTGATGCCTGTCCCCA